AGCATGTGTTTGTAATCATTTTTGCTTTTACTTTTTTTTTTAAAATTACACAGACTATGAAAATATATACATTAATTCAACATGCCTTAATTCATTAGGATAGCTTGTCCCCAACCATGTTTTAAAGTCTCTTTTTCCTACAAATTTTGCTGTTTTCATATATCATGTGTCTCTTCTAGTCAGGCCTATTGCTTCCTCTATAAGGAGATATATCTAAAGGTAATCACCAATATGCTTCCTCATTTATGGAATACTTTTTCAATTGGGATTTTGGTAAAATTTACCAATAGGTATGTTATTAACATACCCACACAACATTTGTGAGTGCGTGTTTGAGAGTGAGAGTGAGAGTGAGAGAGAGAGAGAGACTGGGTACATATACACAAAACATTTTTATATATATTACAATCATACAATGTATATTATAATATAATATAAAATAACCATACACCACCTTAATTTGTCTTTCACATACAGATGGTTTAATACGTTGTCTGAGAGGTTTTGGAGAAGACCCATTGGATTGTGCTGGAGATCTACATTAAAAAAAGAAAAGAAAAAAATCTTACAAAATGTGAAGTATAATCAAGTAACAAAATTTACTAAGCTTAGGAGCTCCTCAGAAACAGGGAGAATCAAGAAATCAAAGGTTCTGGTCCTCTAACTTTTCTCCTGCTCCTCTCCCACACCTTCCCACCCTGAAAAAAAAAAAAAGCTATATTCATGGGAAGAACAATAACATTTATGACTTAAGGTTTCAGCAACTGGCATATCTTGTTAGGGTTTAAGTTTAACCACAAAGTTGTGATTCCGAAGGCACATCTTTGTTACTTGTGGCACTAGTGGTGCTACAGCAAGTTTCTTCCCATTATTGTCTTTGTAGACTTCTGGTTAGGTTCCTCAGTAACTATTCTTTCTCTCTCTCTCATACACACACACGCACACAAATGGAAGTTCTCACAGACAGATAATTACACTTCTATTTTTCAGTTGTGCATAGTTTATTTTCATGCACACAAGATTTGGATGCATACACAAGTGGTTTTGCTTCTTTCAGTAACAAAATCTGTTCTTTGTTTGGAAACATACATACAACCTACCTAAAAAATTATCTCCTTATCACCACTGTCAGCTAATGTCCCTGCACTGACAAGCAGTGGTTTTATTTCGGCTAGGGATACCCAGATAGTAAATATGAAAAATTGAGACGGAGTGGGTAATATATGATATAGCCCCACATATCAGGACTAACCCTATAAAATCAGGACATCTGTCATGCTAATTTCAGCAGGGGTAGAGCCTTTCTAGGTGTTCCACTGAAGAACTGAGTCTCTTTAAGGTGCTTTTAAATGTGCTAAGACTTTTGCAAGATGAGGTAAATATTTGGCAACATGAATTGCCAACATGGGTAGCTTCTCTAGTTCAGTGAGCTAGTTCCTTCCACAGTGCCTACAAAAGTAGGTTCTCAGGAGATTAGTGGCTTTGCAGACCAGTTTAGGAAGGGCATTTAATCAGTAGAGAGCATTATGCAAGAAAGCACAGAAACAGTTATGGGAGAAATAGACAAATGAAATTCCAAAGATGGCATCCTTGGTAGAAACATACCCTTGACAATAAACTGAGAATCAAAGTTATGTATGACCCTGAAAGCTTATCAGTGAGGAAGGGAAACCAGAGAAGAAAGGATTGGGCACATATTCTTACTAAATTATGGAAATATTTAGTCTAAGTTAATTCCAAATTTACCCTAAAAACACAGATAGTACCATAGCTGGAGCACAGTCTCCTTGTTTTGATAGTACTTTCATTGCATTTCCTCTGGTGGCTACAAAAAACCTGAAAATGTTATGGGAAACACAACAGGTAATACTTTTCTGCCATCAGTGAGACTTCATAATAATTACAACCTCCCCTTATTTTTCTTAAATATTTGCATTACAAGAATATGTACATACAAGAAATTGTTTTAGGAAAGTTTCCAGTGGAGAGCAGCAGGGAACCATTTAATAAGGGAAGGATGAAACATTTTCTGTCAGACTTACAGTACACACAAAAGAAACTGATTCAGTGAGAAAAATCTCACTTCATCTGGAAAGTTAAAAAATGTTTTGCATGATTTACTGTTAATGTTGGTACATTCAGTGCCAAAAGATACACAGATACCAGCAACAAAACACTATCAATAGCAGATAAAGGAGACTGTAACCACTTCTTAGCGATACCTTTTTGGAAAGGTTTTAATATATTTATTATTTATTTGAACTTCTTGCCAAGTTTTAGAATCAAAAGATAAAATTCTGGAACCATCCAATTTAATCACTTAAACAAAGTTCTCACAAGCTCAACAGTGGAGCCAAAGCTATAAGGAAGGGATCAAGATAAATTATCTGAATCTCTCAATGTTCCATACATGAGATACATGAGTTTGCCATTCTAGCCTTGGCCCTAAAATAAACACAGTCTTCTGTAAAGCAGTCAGATCCCAGGCACAACTGACCACAAAATTTAAACAGATTTTTGGGACCATTCAGTATAAAAAACAAAATCTCTAGACACAACAAATAAACTGGTTAAAATTCAGAAAATACTTGGAACTAAGCTATTTGATATTAAAATGCAGAATTTTGATTAAATAAGTTGGAAAACTATAGTAAGGTTTAATATATCCTGTGTTTGTACCAGTGACCAGCTTGCTTGCATTTCAAATTTATTGATAGTGATATAAAAAATACCATATTTTGCTATTTTTTAAGAGAGTGATACATTTCACCAACTAGGTAAAACATTTTTTAAACATGTTTAAAAACAATATTATACCCTGCAAGTGCCTGTATTTAGGTAAAGAATGAAGTGATCCCTTTCCACCACACAATATTGAGAGTTTTATTGTTTGTAAAGCAATTGAGATCCTCAGGATAAAGGTGCTAAGGAAATACAAATTGTTCAGAGATTTGGGAGTCTGAAGGAAAAAAGGAAATAAATATGATTTCCAGTATTTTAACAAAAAAAAAAAAAAAAAAAAAAAAGATCCCTCGGCTTGGGTAAAGTTTCTTACTTTTAAAAGTGACCCTTAATGTGGTAGATTAACTTATTTGAATACGTTATTGGTGTCAAAACTATGTTTTGGAGCCATGAACAAGCTACTTCAAATAAAGTGAAAATTATACTGAAATAAAGAAAAGAAATTGGCAGCAAACTGACAGCAAACTGACAATACATCACATAGTCTGCTACTAAGTAATTTGCATAAGGATTATCTTGTATAAGCAAGAACAATTATCGTGTTCTGAAGACCATTTATTACACGGAGTTTATTTTATGGATTTACTAACGGGCTGCACCCCGTGCTCACTACACTCACCTAACCCCCTCTCTCTGGTTGCTTTCGTGGCCAGAGAGCATGAGACCATGATGATATCATTCTGTCAGTTGGCACGAAAACTTTTTATAGAGAGAGAAAAAACTAGTACTCACCTAAAGAGTGTTAAGACAGAGGTGATTCCAAATGGAGTTACATTTTCATCACCATATAGTAGTTCTGCTTTGTTTTTGGTAGGAAGATTGGCAGCTTCTTCATCCAGAAGAACTAGTAAAGCCTTTACAGTTTCTCTGCCACAGTAGGCAGTGCCATGGTTTATGGCATGTAATTTTGGCTGAGAGTAAACAGAAATTATTAAATATTAACAAGAGCATAAAATAAGAAATAATACAGTGCATCACACATACAAACAAGGAATCCATCTTCAACAACTAGGTGCTTCAGCAGAAGGTGCAAGAAATCCCCCCCATTTGTGAAATAACCCATCCAAAGAGAATTTTCCTCCTACCCCCAGGCAATTAGTGATATTTAGCTAATTGCTAGTTGGAAACATGAGCTTAATAACATATACAACTAAATATCAGAATCTGAACAATGATGCCACACTACAGAAGTTAAATTGCAAAATAACGAATAGTTCTCATCACATATTCTTGAGTACTATGGGAAACACAGATACATTTGGGGCGTCTAACACCAAACCCTTTTACAAATTAACTAACTCTTTTCACAGACCTGATCAGAGGTAGGTTATGCACTCCTACATACACACTAGATCAGCAGTTCCCAACCACTGGTCTGCGGAGTGGCTGCCATGCCGCGGTGGCTCTGGGGGCCAGGGCTGGGGTACACTGCCCAAAGCCTCCCCTCCCACCGGGGCTGTTGGGAAAGTCATGTCCTTTCTTGTCTCTCAGACAACCAGCACCAGGTAGGGGAGGGGTCTCTCAGATGCAGAAGAGTGGTTCACTGCATGGCAGGAGGGCCACATGGAGCCCAGTACAGCAGCCTTCGAGCAACCGCAACCCAGGGAGCAACATTCAGCTAACAGCTGGGAAGCAGTACAGAGCTAGGTGAGGGGGATGCGGCAAGCACTAGGGGCTCCAGGAGCAAGGCTAGTGGTGAGGGGCTGGCACTGAGGGCAGCTCTGGGGAGCTGTAAGGCGTGGGAGGCTCTAAGAGACAGGGGGGCTGACAATGGAGGACAATAAAGCATCTGGGGTGGAGAGCTGGCAACGGGGAGCTCTAGGGGCAGGGCTAGTAGTGGGGGAGGTTATGGGGGCAGAGCTGGCACTGGGCAGCTATGGGGATGTGGCTAATATTGGAGACTGGGGGCTGGCACTGGGGGGAGTTCTGGAAGGATTGGATGTGGTGGGGCTCTAGAAACAGGCTAGCACTGGAGGGTCTGGTGATGGGGCATTTTAAGGGGTGGGGGCTGGCACTGGGGGCTCTGAGGGCAGGAAGCTGGCACTGTGGGGGGTTGGGTGCAGGGAACTCAGGGGTCAGTGGCAGGCGCTGGGGGGTAGTGGAGGGGTGGGGGGCTCTAGGGTTTAGGGCTGGCACTGGGGACCTCAGGAGGCCATGGTGTACCCCAGCTCTGGACTCCAGGGTCACCATGAAGAGTCGAATTCAACTGCGGCGCTGCCTGCCATGTAGCAACTGCTGAAGTTGACTGTTTGGCCGGGGCTTTTGGCTGACTAGCTCTGGGAGCTGGGGCTTTTTGGACCAGTAATATTTTATTTGAACATTTGAATATTTGTTATTTGCATAATGAATAAGCAAATAAAATTTTACCAGTCTGCCAACAGTTTGTGAATGGGTTTGCCAGTCTGCGGTATAAAAAAAAGTTGGGAACCACTGCACTAGATCACTCCGGATTTTCCACATAAATGGAGAAGTTGTAAAAGAAAGTAATCTACATCAGAAATGCTCAGTGCCACTCTCAGCAGCAGGGACACAGAACTTCATAATACCTGCGGGACTGCAAGAATTGCAGGTTTGCTATAAAATTAAGTAAAAAAGTAACAATCCTGTGTTTTGTTTGTTAATATACAGAAGATTTTTAAAATCAGTTACTTGATAAATATAAAACATTTCACAGTTTAAATTTGTTCTTAAAAAATAGGACAAGTAGCAACAGATTTTTTGAGAATCAGTTAACTAATCTTAAACAATCTCTGCAGCACTCTCACCACCGGGTTATCCCAGGGGTGAAGCCGACGGCTGAAATAAGTGGGCCCCTCCTCCCCGCCCTACCCTCTGGGGTCCTCCTCTCCCCAGGCAAAGCAGATGGCCAGGGTGCGCCTTCCACCCATGGCTGGCCCTGAGAAGAAGCCAGCAGCAGGGATGGTGCCCTCAACCTCAGCAGCCAGGACGCACAGCCCCATGGGTAATACTTTTAGTTTAATGTAAGTTATCAACTAGTAATTAGGAACAGCAACTTCAACTATAGCTGTTGTCACAGACCTCCCCCTCCCCACGCTTTACGAAATGTACTTATGGACACAAATATGCACAACTCAAAGATGCTTTGGACAAATTACCTCATGTAACCTATCAATCTTAATGTCATAATCTGCTAGGTCTGTATATCTCATTTAGGTGTATGTATCATTCCTGCATGAAATCTATGTAGAAGACTAATGCCCTTCTCACATCCAGCGTGTAGCACTCTCTGCTTAGCTCTAAAGTGTGGCTTGGGATAAGAAAACTGGAAGGAAAATCTTTTGGGTCAGATGGAATTGGGAGACCACTTTTGGTAGCAAAGATGGATGCAGCCTGAGCTGCAGTTTGTCCCTGCGGAAGACTGTATACGATGGTTCTGAAGATAGAGCCCTCAGCTCAGACACTCTCCTTGCTGAGGTAATAGACACGAGAAAGGCCACCTTCATAGAGAGATGAAGCAATGAACACTCAGCCACTGAGTCAAAGGGCGGTCCCATGAGTTTATTGAGCAACAGGTCCATGTCCCAAGCAGGTACAGGTGGACAACAGTACAGATATAACCTGTCTAATCTCTTTCTAAAAATGTGGCACCATGGAGTGGCCAAACGGGGAACATTGGAAGCAGCCTGGGTGAAAGGCAGATACCTTCGCCAAGTGAACTTTTACCAAATAGGTGGTGCAACAGGTACTCTCGCACCACTGAAATAGGCACCAACCCAGGGGAAACATCCCGCTCCACACATCAGCTGGAGAACCTTTTCCATTTGGCCAAATATGCCGCCCTGGCAGAGGGCTTTCTCCTGCCCAAGAGGAGCATTGAACCTCTAGCAAACTGAATCATCCAATTTCCATGCTGTTAGATGGAATGAGCACAGATCCAGGTGTCTGAGACGCCCCTGATGCTGCATCAGAAGGTCCGGGTACAGGTGCAGGGCTATTGGGGCTTCTACCAACAAGTTGAGCAGAATGGAAAACCAACGTTGACGCGGACACGCCGGCGCTAACAAAATTAGACCAGCCCTGTCCCTGTGGGCTTTTAGCAGGACCCGATGTACCAGTGGAATTGGGGGAAAACACTTACAGGAGGAGTGTTCCCCTCCAATGGAGAGTGAATGCATCTCTCATGGAACCCTAATAGTGATTCTGAAATGAGCAAAAGTCCAGGCACTTTTTGTTCTCTGAGGTGGTGAACAGATCTAGAAGGGGAGTCCCCCTACTGTGAAAGATTGATTGTATCACATCTTCCCAGACTGACCACTCATGGACCTCCTGCTGAGGACTTCCTCCAGCATATTCTGTAGTCTGGTAGAGAATGCCACAGTCTCTGCGCCTCGCTGCAGAGCCAGGATGATCGCACACCTTCCTGCTTGATGAAACTTTGCAGTAGTACTGTCCATACACACTGACACAGAGGCCCTGCATCAGCATCTGGGGTTGGAACACCTGGCAAGTCAGTCTGACTGCTCTTAGTTCTTTCACAGAGATGTAAACACTCGCGTCTGTGGGTGACCATAGTTCTTGGATCCTCAGGCCACCTAGATGAGCCTTCCCACCCCACATCTGAGGCATTGGTCACCAGTGTTAATGTGGGGCCTAATGGGGCAAACCCTTCTGACTGGTTTAATGGGTCCATCCACCACCTGAAAGATTCTGTCACCCTGTGGGGGATGGCCACTACCATGTCCAGACTGTGAAGTGTAGGTACATAAACTGAGGTGAGCCAGCCTTGAAGGGATATTTAGGTGTAGACACATGTTATGTGATCACGTGGCAACACAATCCCATGTGGCCCAGAAGTCTGAGGCACGTCCTTGTCATTGTGACCAGACACTGAGTGAAGGTGACTATCAAGTCCCGAATGGTCTGGGACCTCAACTCTGGCAACAATGCTTTCTCTTGGGATGAGTTTAGTGTTGCCCCTATAAATTGTGATCTTTGCACAGGACTCAGGACTGACTTCTCCTTGTTGAGAGGATGCCCAGAGTTTTGAACAGCTCTAACATGAGGTGTATGTGAGCGAGAAGCTGGTCTCTGGAGGTCGCTTTTAGCAGCCAGTCATCCAGATATGGAAAAACTTGGACCCCCTCTTGCTCAGGAAGGCCACTACCAATGCCCGCAAGGCCGAAGAAAGGCCAAACGGTAGCACTGCAAATTGGTAATGCTCACCTGCTATTGTGAATCTGAGGTAACGCCTATGACATGAAAGGATAGAAATGTGGAAATATGCATCCTTTGTGTTGAACAGATCTAGTGTGAACCAGTGACCCAAATAAGGGATTATTGTGGCCAGAGTGACCATCCTGAACTTTACCTACTGCATAAAGAGGAAATAGTGGGAATAGAAACCCTTACCCTGACTTAACGAGGGACCTCTTGTATCATACCTATATTGAGGGGCGACTAGACCTCCTGTTTCAGGAGATGCTTGTGGGAGGGGTCTCTGAAGAGGAACAGAGAAAGGCGATGGTGAGGGCATAGGGATGCAAACTGCAGGGAGTACCCCTCTCCAACCATGTGGAGACCCCAACAGTCCAACATAATACTGGCCTACGCATGGTAGAAGTGGGATGGCATGGCTGAAAACAGAGGGAATATATCCAGCAGGTCTGGTGCTCTGCCCTCGGGTGCACCTTCAAAAGGCCTGTTTGAGGCAGGGGGAAGCTTGGAGGAGTTGAGCCTCTGCTTATTTTATTGGGCTCGAGTTCTCCTTCTGTTATTGTTCCTATTGCAAATCTGCTGCTGAGGCTGAGGGCAGATATGCATGACTAGGGATATGCATGACTAGGGATCTCATAGTTGCTTGGGAGTCTTTGAGAGAGTGCAGTTTGGAGTCAGTTTGTTCTGAAAACAGGCTGTTGCCTTCAAAGTGGAGAGCCTGTAATGTGGACTGGAT